TTGAAGACAGACAGCAATGGAAGACAGTTACAGCTTGTGGGCCAATTTAAGCCGTATAGTGTTCAGGCAACATAAATGTCAGGGACAAAATACTGTAATTGTTGCTATTATGTATGGGCAATTAGATTAAATGTCAATGAAGTATTAACTACCACATGTTGTTAGATGCGAATTCGAGGAAGAGAATTCTCTCGGAGGCACATTACATACAGAAAATGACAAGAATGTAAATACGTGGGCACTGCACTATTTTTGAATGAGCTTGTTGTCAAACACAGTAGCAATGACACTATCCTTTGTACCCTTGACAATTTGTACTTGTCTTTGGGTAGCACTTATTTCTCAAAAAAAAAAACAACCCTTTTTATGTATCTGTCTTCCTACTATACACTGAGATTCTTGGGACCAAGAGCTGTGTCTTCTTTTTTCTTCTTCATCGTAATAGTAGCTCACAGAGTATCTGCTATTGCCAGGCACTGTCCTGCAGTATCAACTCACTTCACTCTCATAACAGCCCTATGAAATGAGTACTATTAGTAAGCCCATTATACGGATGAGGAAAGGAAGCACAGAGAGGTTGGATAACTTGCTCAAGGTCACAGAGCTTGTTAGTGGTAGATCCAGGATTCACACCCAGGCAGTTTGGCTCCAGAGTCTGTGTTCTGAAACACTCTACTCACTTTTTGTTCTCTGCAGTACTTGCACTGCAAATAGTGTGTGCTCAGTAAATGTTGCTGGATGAAGATGTCTTTCAGTAAAGCTAGTGTATGCCTTTACAACTGTCTACAGTATAAAAAGAGTTGAGGAGTCTGATTATTAATTTCAGAGTGTTCTCACTTTCAGGGTTATGTGGACAAGCTGTGGAGAACCAGAATGACAAGTCTTCTGTTGGTATAAGCTCATAACACCTTTACACTAAAGGTGTTTGATAAATATTGTTCAATTTTTTGTTTCTTCCTGACTTTCTTACTTTTTACTTCACTTTTCACAGATTTGATGTGGCTTATAAAAATTTAATTAAAAATGAGAATTACCCTATGTATGAATACAATAGAAAATAAAGAGTGAGTGAAAGTTAGGGTAAAAACATGTAGATCTTAGAGTTCTATATTAATATTATGCTTGCTCACTGAAGTTAACTCTGAGCTTCCTGGCAGCCAAGGCAAAGAGATACCTCATCAGTTACATACTCACCTTGCCCATGGAGAAGAATTGAGAATGGGAAAGGCAAGACACACTTGTTCCTCAGGGGAAACAAAGCTTTTTCTTACTTTATGTCTCAAGATAGTCTTCCTCCTTGTCTACATGTAGGAGTCACAGAGTGATTAAATAGATAATGTCCTCAATGACTTTTTGGAAAAAAATAGATTTCATAAACTTGTTTTTTATGTTGTGTATCGATTTAAGCCAAAGGCAAAAGCCATAGCACAGTTCAGTGAAAGCAATTCTGTGAGAGGCTAAGAAGATAGGAAAGGTAACTTTTAGATAGTATGGCTTAACCTAAGGATGCAGTCCTGAATAGCCAGATTTGTGGTGGGATGGCTTATAATTCAGTGGAGGTGACACAACACTAAAAGAGAAATAAGCACAATGTTGCATAATTGGCCTTGTCGTAGAAGTTTATTTGTTGGAAATTCACAGTTATATGCTTTGGCTGGAGGCTATGGTGTACATATTGTGAGTTGGTGATTAAGGAACAATTCATATGCTTAAAGATCAATTGAGCAGATGATAGATCCACTTTCTTCCATGAACATTGTATAGCCTAACCAAAAATGCTCACATGACTGACAAGTCTTTGAATTCCACATGGAGGGGGTATGATGATGATTTACCCATGATTCTGAATTAAAAGGAAAAAAAATTAAATCACATATGGCCTCTCACATTGAGTCTACATTGACATATTCACCCTCTCTTTTCAATCAAAGTCTTTCTTTGGCCCTCATCTTATAGGGCTACCTTTTCAGGGACAAAATACAATTTTTAAAATTAGAGGAAACACTGTGGATTGCAAATATTTAATTTATGTTTCATGCTTTCCAGGGCCCTGGATTAAGTGATGATACCCCAAGAAGCAGTCTGGGTGGAGTGGGAACAGGATGGCGAGAGAGAGTTCTGGGCTTAGAGCTAAATATAAATAAAATTTGAACTATATTTGAACAATCATTGATTCTCTCTATAAGGGGCTGTTGGGGCTTGATTAGTCCTACCTCTCAACCATTTCACACATAGCCAGTGGGTTAGTGTGAAGTTGAAACCAGTTAAAACCTAGTTCCAAGGAAAAAAATAAAACATCACAGCAGTTAGACTCTCTTAATACAAATGATGCCTATGTTGTCTCTTATAGATCTTTTTGCTTTTGCTTAGTGATTTCGGTCCTCTTCAGATCAGGCCCAAGTGTTCCTTGGGTGGATCCATATACAAAGGTTTCATTCTATTTTCCTTTTTGCATTTTGTCCTAAATCTTCCACTGCATTTAATTCTGAATCACAATATATCTTCCCCATGTCTAGCAGCATATGTATATTGCTTTCTTAAGTACTTTCTAAACTTTCATATGAAATGGAATAAAACTTTGAGCTACTGACTCAGAATTTCTTGGAATATGTGAATGGTTTCTACGCACTTCTTAGGGAGGCAGAAATAGAGGGATCTCTGCAGAAAGTTGCTTAAACTCTCACCATGTGAGACAACTTCTCCTGCATTGATGCATTTTCGAGTGCTAATATGTCTAATTAATGTAGAGAGTGGGAAGGTAGGTTAACTAAAGAAATAATTAACTTTGAGGGTAATTATGCAAGCAAAAGCACAGTTAGTAGATTGAAAATTACTTTCTCCTGCTGTGGATAGCTATTCTAAAGGACTAGATATTAATGATCATGGTATTTTTACTATAAAAGGTAATCTCTTTTCATATCAAATTTAAAGGGAAGAAACTTGTTATACACAGAGTACAGGAAGGTAATATGGAGTAATACATTTTACTGAGATTGTCAAAAGCATACTAGAAAAGGCACAGGGCTTGGAGTAAACAAAGCTGAGATGGAATCCAAGTGTCACTATTTAGTAGGTGCATATCCTTGAATGTGCTACTTAATCTTTCTGACCCTACATTATCATCTTTACTGCTAAGATAATCTTGTGTGAGATTTGTGAGGACTAAATGAGATAATGTATGTAAGTTGTCCCATATGGCAAAGGGTACATAGTAGGCACTCAAAAATTGATAGCAAATGTTGTTTCCCATGGCATATTTAAAAAGCATGATTATATCCATCATGTGATCTATTAAAAATACTGGCCAGCTGTATAAGAAGAATAAATTTTCCCTCCAAACTATTTGATTATTGCTCACTGACCCAGCTCATCTACCCAGATCCTTGTCCTGGAGCCCTGCCCACGTGGTCTGTCCCAGTCTTGGGTGTCCTCTACTGCTAGATTCACCCATGTTTCCCGGATACCTGGCAGATTACATGCATCTCTGTCCCCTTTCACTGCTGGAAACATGCAGCTTCCTCTTTGGCTTCTTTTGCCCACTTTCAGCAATCTACCTGCATCGTTCCTCAGCTTCATCACTACCCCTGTCCCTTCTACCTGCCTGAATTTCATCTCTCCTATTTGAGTAATTGGACTGAGGCATGAACGGGATACTTCCAGGGTCTCTGTACCTTGTTTCAAGCACTAAATTAGGGAAAGTCATCATCACAAATGTGAGGGCAGGGCAACTGTGGCCTATTATATCAGTTTTATAGATGCTTGCAAAATTGCTTTGGATTCTGAAAAATTGGCATACTTGTGAATGATGTTCTCATGGGAGGGTGGACAGCTAGAGAGGATCCTAATAGGTTTATGCTGGCTATTTTCCATTTGACCTTCCAGATCAGCTCTTCACCTTTCTTTACCTTGGGCTTTGCCCCGAAAGGCTGAGCTCTGTGGGTTACATCCATCTGGTTCTCTTGCTCTGTGGCTTCTGGTTGAATTTGGCCAATGAAAGACACTATCAAAAGAGGAAAGAGCAGGAGGAGAAAGAGAAAGGTGTTACTACTCTGCTCCCTCATTGTCTGGGCTGTGGGTGGACAGTCCTTGTTTGTCTCTATTGAAGTCCATATCGCCTATCAGGGAGGCATTTCAAAGCTACAGCTACAACTCCTGTTCTGGAATTGGCCCCCTCTGCTTGATCTGTCAGGCTTTGGGCTATTAATGGGTGCTTTACCAACCCCTGATGGTTTCTCTTAAGTTGCCCACACTCTTATAAATAGTGCCTTCATTAGTCTTTCGGTTCCCCCATTTTGACTGATAGAAAAAGAAGTGGTGATTCTCTCAGCAGGGACAGAGCACCTAAGTGCTCTAGATATAGGGCAGAAGGGACTTCAGTCTATTCCAAGGCAACCAAAAGGCAGAGTTGAGGGAGGGCTGGTGTGCTAACAGCTGAGCCTTGGCAGACAGAAGGCATCCAGCAGGCATTGAAAGACTGTTTTGGTGGTCAAAGCAAATCAACTGAAGCCCAGATTGTTCTAAACAAACAGCTGGTTTGGTGGTGGGTACTGCTTTCAACAAAGGTTGAGATCTAGCGGTCAATCTGGTTTGACCGCCTAGCTGCTCAGTCTTAACTCTCTCCTGGAAGGAAGAGGCCGTAGTTAATGCTGTTGAGTTTGTATTCAGATTTAGTCTAGAGAAAGCTCCTCAGTAATTGAGTTGAGCAAATGACAGTTCACAGTGTTTGGGAGGGACAGTGGGATTCTCTTTCAACAACAGGTTTATGTCTTAAGGAAAGAAATTGTTGAATCAGATCCTTATTTTACTTTTATGTCATTAAAAAATATTTTTAAATTCATAAAGGAAGTTTAAAGGCATTTCAGGGGCTGGATAGTCAAAATTTCCCCATGGCTACTAGAAGTCCTAGTATGGCTTTGCTAAAGTTTGTCCAAATAGACCAATTTTTAAAAACACTGATGTAGAGCGACAGTTTAGAATGTCATTGACACATCTACAGTCTCTTCAAATGGAAGGTGGAGAACTGAAGCCATTATTTGGGTAATTTAAGTAAAATATTATTTTGAGGAATTATCCATAAATATAAATTTATTAATTATAAATTTAATTAAAATAATATTTTTGGACTGAATTAAAGAAAAACATTTCATTCACTTACTAACAAGGTGTGATAAAAAATTAGGCCCTGGATTATGAGTATCATAGTTATAACTTAACATTTCATCATACTAACCTAAAAGAACATGATGATAACTCCTTGTACTGAACTGAAGTATAATGAATACAATAATAGTTAACATGAATATGAATAATACAGCTGTCAGGCACAATGCTAAGCTCTTTCTGCAGATTATCTTACGCCTAATAATCCTATGAAATAGTTATTATTGCCAGTTTATAGAAAAAGAAACTGGAATTTATATGGTAAGTAACTTGCGGAGGCCTCACAGCTGTAAGTGACAGAGCCAGATGGAGCACAGGTCTACCCGACTCATGGCTGTCTGTGCTTAACCACCGAGCAGCACTTTCTGTATGACCAGGACAGAAATCAACAGTCAAACCCCTGGGAGAGAATGATTTTCCTAGAACCTATTTTATCTTTCTCATAAAGATGTTTTTCGTGAGGAATCCTCTAATTCATAGGATAAGTATCTCCAGTAGGATGCCTGGAAGGATAGTTCAGATTAGGATTCTCATTCTCATGTTTAATGTGTTTTTTGTCGTTGTTCCAGTCTAAAAATGAAAACGAGCCTTTGAGAAAAAGAAGGGGAAAAAATCAAGGGAAATTAAACACTCCTTATGTATTTTGCATCCAGGCACCAGGGCTCACTGAAAAATGCATTCTGATGTGAGGCATAAATCCAGCCATGTTCAAGGCTCACAGGCAAGCTTATAGCAGATCTGTATTTTCACATGCCCTCATGCTTTGCCCACAGCATCATGTCGGCTACATAACATCTTAAACTCTCAAGGTACGGGGTAAATTGTGGTCTTTCTTGAATATCCCTGGCTGCAACTGATGCATAACTGCACCCGTAACATGTGTCTTCCTCTGTCTTGTGTCACCAATGTGCAGGGGGAAAGCTAGATGCTGTAGATGTGGTTGTCATGGAAACCAGCAGTTGTCCCTGCAAGGGTTTTGAAGTCGATACAAAGTTTCTGTTAAAGTGCATGCAATTCTGCTGATAGAGATGTGGTCATAAAATCCTGGTTTCTCTCTCTGTCCTTCAAAACAAGAGGATCCAGTCCTTTCCTTGTTCACACCTTTCAGTAGGTTGATTGCCACAGAAACCCATAATCCCGGGGAAGGAGTTACATGTTTAAAACACATTTGGGAACAAATGGTATACATCTAAAGCCAGTCTCGTGGAGAGCAGATAAAAACATTTTGAAAAAAGGATGCTGGAAGGGGCAGTGGGAAAAACAGACTTTATTCTTGTCCCATTTTATAGACCTGCCTTTGCCTTCAAAAAGGTATTCGTGAATGGAAAAGATGAACATATTTGTAACCTGGGATCCTCTAAGAGGCTCTTAAGGGGCCTGGTTAGGAGCAAATGGATCTGGTCCCTTTCATCTACTTCGACATCTCTTGTTCTGTTGTGAGTGTGAGGGGTTGTGAATGTACTAATAGCGAGAGGGCAAGGTTCTGGGAGACACAAGAAATAAGCTGCATCTTAATGCAAATACACTTAGGGCTGGAGTGACATCTAAAAAGCTACCTTGGATAACAAAAACCTTTCGTAGGAGGTTTCTAGGGAAAATACACAATAGAGCAGGGAACATATTACTTGTTTCCTCTTAGGAATCCGTGATCAACGTCCATTTTCGTCCTGAAGTGGTTGGGGCTTTATGAAAGCGAAGGGGAAGGGCAGTTAGCCTCCCACCTCCTCAGGGCAGCCTGAGGCTGACCACCTTCTCTTTGGACTGTCAAGTGGACAGAACCCTGGATGGGGAGGAGATGGAAGACTCAATTTTAGGCTTCACTTCTGGTTCCTGGTGGCTTTGCTGGGACTGATATCTTCCCTTTTGAAGAACTGAGGGCCACCATTGGTTAATTTGATATGGAAATGGGGATATGCATGTGTAATGGCAGAGGGCCTCTTTCCAATCGATATTGTGATAGATAAATTCTCAAAAATGCTTCATGGCTGAAGAGAAAGGTGGTTTGTCTCGCCACTTTCATATTCTCGGGAGAGGCAAGGATGGTGGGATATGGGAGGTTGGCCATGGGGGATGAGTTGAGTGGTGACTCAGTAAAAGGAGGTAGCAGCGAGATTCTGAGGATTGACTCTGTTTTGGAACTCTCCCTCCAGTCTGTCCTCTTCTCCATGCCCACTGTCACTGTGCTACCCAGGCCACCACCATCTCCTGCTTGGGCTGTAGCAGCAGCCTCCTAAGTCCCCTCTCTGAGTCTATCCTTTCCTTTCCAAACAGTTCTCTTTATTGCATCCAAAACAACCAAACTCAAAACTCATAAATACCTTCTCACTGTGTGTAGGAAGAAGTTCAGAATATTTACCTGGCCTTCTAGATTCTGAATTACTTACACTTCCAGTCTCAACTCTCATGGCTTCCCTCTTGTTTTTGTACCTTTGGCCATTGAGGACATCTCTCTGTTTCTCCAACAGGCCATGCTTTCTTTTATCCCAGGACCCTGGGGCATGCTGCTCCTTCTGTCTGGAATGACCTTTCTCCCTTTGAACCCCCACCCACCTTTAGGCTCCAACTAACCTAGTCAACTCCTACTCATCGTTCAGGGTTCTGTTAAAATGATAAGTCCTTAAGGACTACTCTCCAGGCTAGGTTAGATCTGGCCGAGTGTTTACAGCACTTTTTACTTCTAGGCTCCCGCATCACAGGTGTAGTGACTAGTTTAAGGTCTGTCTTTCCCACTGGACTGAAAGCCTCTGAGGACAGGGACCATGTCTGCCTTGTTTCCTGCATCTGGCTCATCATGAGGTGCGCAGTAAATATTTGCAGACTCTCTGGCTGGCTCACCATGGAGGCAACACCTGTGATGTTTGTTGCGATCTGTGAATTAGACCCTGGATTGGGCTTTGTCCTCTTTAACTCTTCTCTTGGGCTTTGTGCCCCCTGATTTTAGGGCTTTCTTGGGTACAATTATTCCTTTGACAAAGTTGGCAAAAATTACACCTATGGTACATTTTTTGATGAACCATGAATAAATGGCCTCCCTATAACTGTTCTGTGTTGTAGATTTCTGTGTCACCAGAAAAGCTAGATAAAAAGCAAAAGACAGTTAAAGCCGCTATTTGGCATAGTGTAGGAAAAAACTCCACTCCATTTAATTTACTGAATTTGTTCCTTAAAAAACAATCTCTGAATTCAGGCAATCCAGTTTGTGTAGACCCAGTGAGACAGGGATCAATATCTGATTTCTGAGAGATGAGACTGTACGTACGGCAGATTCAAAACTAAAAATCCATACAGTCGGCCACGATTTAAGGCAGCCGCTGCAGGGCTGCAGGTCACAAAAAGGAGCATTCTACCTGCACCAGCGTCCTGATTCTTTGTTGAAATGAAAAATGCAGGAGAAGGGGGCTTACTCCTGTGTTCTCTTGTACCTGGGAAATTGAAGGACAGGGAAATTACCCATGGAACAAGTTTTGTTAATCCCTGCCTGAACAGGAAACTAATTTATTCATTCAAAGGCTTCTCAAGCCCCACCGGTTTTTTGTGTCACACAGTTACAGTAGGACAGTGAAGACCACTTCTTATGATCCAGTAGGGAGATGAGAGAAGGCTACAAGGAGTAGCTGTTTGGCAGGAAAGAGCAGGGAGCGAGTCAGGCTTGAGGGTGGGGCCACAGTCTCTACAGCAAGAGGTGAGGGCAGGGGGAGTCCAGTGAACTGGGTGACTGAGAAGGATCTCCAGGGGAAAGTGGTTCTGGAGCTGGTCCCTAAAGGGTGATGGCATCAGGTAGAGTAGTAGGGGTGCCTCCTAGCAGGAGGAAGTCTGTGAATAAACAATCAGAGGGTGGAAGGGGTATGGTAGGTCATATGAATGGGAACTAACTTTCCCTTTGGCAAATGAGAGTGTGGGCTCACGACTGTTTCAGCCACAGTCAGTCTGGATTCCTGTCCAGGCCAGCTACACATTCTGTCTGGACATTCTCCCTTGAAGGCTCAGGTCTATGCAGCCACAGGGAATGGTGATGGAGCTCACAGTTCAGGCCTCTTTGCTTGCCTTCTCAGTCCTTTGCTACCTGCCGCTCAAACCCCAGAAGCAGACCTCCCGTCAGAATGAGAAAGTCATCTGTCTTTTTCTTCTGTAAAGGTAGATCCGCTCTGCTCCCCTTTGTGAGAGTTTTTTCTGGAAGAGAATTGGTGGGGGTTTGGCAGGGGGCAAAGGGGACCCATCCTTGCAGGAAGGAGACTGTTCCTACATCAGGGGAATTAGATTAGGTGTAATAGCAGCCTAATTTGAGGACTTTTTCTATATGCAGCCAGGGTATGCATGATATAATTTAATCATTCCAGTAACCCTATGAGTCAGTTCTGTTATCATCCCTTTTCCAAGGCGGCTACTGAGCTCCAGAGGGTGAAGTATCTTCCCAAAGTCACAAAACTAGAAAGGGCAGAATTGGGACTTGAAACTGTTTGCTTGATGCCAAAACTATGTACCTAAACGAAGCTCTACTGTTTTGGGAGCTCCTCACCCCCTCCTTTTAATTTTTCTCCCAATTTCATAACTTCATGTTTTAAAAATAGCATGCTCATTTTAGACAAGTTGAAAGTATAGAAAAGTATAAATGAACAGAAAAAAATTTATCATAAATCCATTCCACAGAGGCCATTTCTATTAAAATGTTGACCTACTTTCCTCTAATATCTTGTACAGTGTTTCGCATAGTTGAATTTATACTAGTTCATATCACTGTTGGCCTTAATGGTACAAAATAAGCATTTCCCAAAACACTTAGTCACTTGAACCTTAGTAGTGGCAAACATTTTATTGTTTAGATGTGCCATAAATTTTTTTTTTTGAGGAAGATTAACCCTGAGCTAACTGCTGCCAATCCTCCTCTTTTTGCTGAGGAAGACTGGCCCTGAGCTAACATCCGTGCCCATCTTTCTCTACTTTATATGTGGGACGCCTACCACAGCATGGCTTGCCAAGTGGTGTCACGTCTGCACCCGGGATCTGAACCGGTGAACCCTGGGCTGCCGAAGCAGAACGTGCACACTTAACTGCTGTGCCACCAGGCTGGCCCCAAACCATAAATTTTTTAATAATTCATCTTTTGTTGGAAATTTAGGGTGTCTCCAGTTTTTTTTTACAATCGCATATAAAACTGAAATGAACATACACATAAATATATGAAATGTACACACATTTTGATCTGTAATTCTGTCAGGTAGATTCCTAGAAATGCTGTTACTGAGTCGAAAGGACATAGTCAATTTTTTAAGGTTCTTGATGGGCATAAACAAAATGTACTCCAGGACAAATTCTCCAAGTTATATTCCAACATTTTGGGGGGATTTTTTTGCTAGTCAATTTTCCCCTCCAGAACACCCTCTATTTATTAAGAATTTATGTCTCTCGGTATTGTGATGTTCTTCCTAAAGGCACATTTTTTGGGTTAAGTTTTTCCTTATATTTACCACATTTTTTTGATTTTGTGAATGGCATTTTTCCTTTTTATTTTCTAACTGTTAACTACGGCATATTTATTTTGCTCACTGTAGATGACTTATTAGAAAAGGTTGACAGAGAAGAAAAGGAGGTCTATGGACATATGCATTGACAAATGAGGCCCCTCTGCAAATGAAGGTGGGTCGTTCTTTCCCCAAAACCAAAATGGGAGAAGCCAATGGATGTTTGTGGCTGAGGGTGGGGAGCCAGTGGAAATGCTTGAAAAGGGTTGAGGATTCCATGACTGCCATCTCCTAAGGGTGGATAAAGGGAAAAAGAGAAGCTGAGTGGTGGGAGGATTTACCTTGGGGAAAATGAGGCTCATTTTATCACGAGACTGGAGGGAATGATGGGTTCAAAGACAGACGGAGGGCAAGGGTTGGTGAGGAAGTGTGTGCTGGGAATTCCAATTTCAGCAAAGTAGAGCAGTGGCCAAGAGGGTGGAGGAAATCCTAAGATTGAGTGTGGGGGAAGAGTGTACAGTAACTACTAGAGGAACTGTCATTAGGGACATCACTCAGATCCCCTCATTTCAGCTTCCTGAAACTTGTATCAGATTGGAGCCTGCCCAGTGCCATCTACTGCTGATGGTCTGACTGCGTAGCCAGCAACAACACAGTTGACTTTAATGAAAACAGAATGTGGAGACCGAACACAGGTCTGCATCCAAATGCTGCCAGATATCTGGAGGGAAATTGAAAAATTCATGCAACCATGAGAATGTTTTAAATTATCAGATGTTAGGCAAGTTGAGCATAACCTAAATTTGTCATTTTCCTTTTCTTTCAGGGGTAATGGTAGAGAAAAGATGCTTCTTTAATTTCTGTCTGATCATGGTTCTTTCTGAGTTTCACAGATCTTTTAATAAGTAAATAACTGATCAGTGTAAAAGCTCTTATTATTTGTGGTTAGTGCCAGCATCCAGCACCTCAATATTTAACCTGTATAATATCTGTTAATGTTTTATTCATGCTCACCAGAGAGGTTATGAGAGCTTTGTTAATTGCATAATTTTCCTTTGTCTAAATACATACACTTCTGTTTATTTCTGACTTGGAGAACAACTTGTTCTTTCTTTTCTTTTCTTTTTGCTTTTCAGTTTGGGTTTATGTCTCAGAATTAAAATCAAGGGTCCATTAGGCGTCATTCATCTGTGAGATGAATTCTATATTCCATCTATTGATTCCATCGTGGGTGAACATTTGCAGGGTTTAGGCCAGCAGTAGCGAGTACCCTAAATAGGACTTACATTATTCCTTCAATATAGGATGAAAATGTAGGGAAATATCTTCATTTGAACAGCTTTGTGGAAAATGTTTCATATATTAAGAGCTGCTGTATGTAATACATGTAGTTTTCTGATAAGTGAAATGAAAATAAGTATTCTTCATGATATCAATCCAATGGAATACATTTAATAATTCCAAACCCATTTGCCTTTGAATTATGCCTTCTTGGATGAAGATATTTTTCAAACCAGGAACATTTTATGATTGTAAATAGCAAGTAGACATACTTTTTGTAGTGAGTTTGCCAGAAATTGTAACAAAGGTGTTAAGGGAAGATTGTGGCTCCGTTATAGCTCTGAAAAGAATCTTGTCAGCCTCCGTCTCTGCTAATATCTATACCTCAGGGTGACTTATTTATATGTATACCTCTCATTAATAAGCTATCTGCTAACCAACTATTTTTTTATTGCATAATCTGCTAGCCTTTGCTCAGTTCTTATCTTTAGTTTCTCTACGCATTTTGCTCAAAACTCATGTTATCTGTGACATTGTGCTATCCTAACTTTCTTCTTCTTTTTCTAATCATTTCTTTTCTGTCTCATTTGATGGTTTCTTCTGTTCACTAAATGTGAGAGTTCCTCAAGGATGAGAGGAGGCCTTCTGCCTTTTCCCTTCTTAATTCTCTGCCCCAGTGAGCTCCTTCATTCTCTTGGCCTCTCAACATCTCCATCTGGATACTGATCTTAGAGCTCTCATCCCATACCTCTTGGGAATTTCCACTTGGATTTTCAAAGTCAACTTATTTAAAAGCTGTTGTCTTCTCCAAAATAATTTTCCTCCTTGTGTTTCTCTTTCATGTATCACTCTTTTTCTCAAACTTCAATCTTACAGCCAACTTTGATTTTTCTTTTTCCATGGTCCTTCCATGTCTAACCAGTCACTATTTGTTTTTATTCTACCTCCACAAATTCTCTATAATCTCCACCCTCCTTTCGCTTTCCACTCTCGCCACCTTTCAAAATTCGCTCTTTTGACCTCATATTTGGATTGTTGCAGTAGCTATAACATAACGTATTGAGATAATAACCTTTTCCACACTGCTATAGGAGTTTTTCTTTCCCCCACAACAAGATGGCAACCTAGCTTTTGTGTTCTTTGCCTCTGGAAATTGTGTGAAGGAGAGTAGATATGGGAAAAAGAGCAGTTTCCAGATAACACCTAACTAGGATTTTGTTTGCAAAAGCCGAAGCTCACTGAAGAGAATTATTTAGGATTATTCTTAGGGGTAGGGAAGATAGAGATGAATGATTAAATTTGGGAGGAAGAAGTGGGCCAAGCTAAAGATGAGGGAGGTTTTGTTTAAAGAGAATTCCTTTTGAGATGAGGAAGAGTGTGGGGTTTGGTAAGTTTCATGGAGTCAGGAACATTACTGTGCTCCCTGACAGTGGAGTTACTAGGACTTCTGATGGGTAAGGCTGGGGTGATGGATGGGCCAAACCTTAAGAGCCATTGCCCTAGGACCAGCAGACATTAAAAAGCCCCAGCGCCCACTGTTGCTTGTCTTCTAGGAACCATAGAGGCTTGCACAGTAAGCTCATCAGTTGTAATAGGGCAGTCTGAAGACTGGAGAGTCTTTCCCTAAGTGCTTTGTACAGCATAGGGTCACTCTTGGACTTTGCCTTGACATTAGGGTGGGGATATTAACTAGGGTATAAGCTTAGCTGCTGCAACACAGAGACTTCAAAATACAGAGGCTCAAACAAGTTGGAAGATTTTTTTCTCTCTCTCCCAGCAGTCTGGAAATAAGTGAGCTGTCCTGGTCTGGAAAGCAGCTCTGCACTGCAAGGATGTTTAGGATTCCATGTTCCTTTTCTGGGTGCCTCACCATCTCCTAGAACGGGATTTTAAAACCTTACACCCTGGCCCCTTTTGGGCAATCTGGTGAAGTGTGTGAACTCTGTCTCAAATAATGGTTTTAAATGAATAAAAAAAATACATAAGAGGATTATAAAGGAAGTAAATTATAATAAAATGCAATTATTACAATGTTAAAAAGACAATTTGTGGTATACTAATGCATATGCTTCTTTATTAATTATTAACATGATCCAATGGTGTATCCAATAAGTATTTTAGTTTCAAAATAGTGATAAGCACGAACTGTTAGTTCATGATATCTGTATAAATGTATATATCTGTATAAATGTAGATATGAAAATATCTGTGGTTTCTGATAGTGAGAAGGTCATAGATACTCTGAATACCACTGTGGTTTGTTGCCTACATTCAATAAAAGAAAATGCTGAATTTCAATTAGACCTTACTGAAAATAAAGATGTAACTTCTCATCCAAGTTTCTGGACCCCCTGAATTCTATCCACGGCCCCTTTGAAGATCTGTCAATCCCAGGTTAAAGACCCTGTCCTGGGGTGTTGAAGCTGGCTCACCTCTATGTATGGCTCCAGCACTAACAAAAGAGAAAAAGAGAAGTCCAGGGCAAGAAATCTGGTCTTTACAGAGATGAAATTGTGCCCATCAGTTCTCACATTCCACTGACTTGAACCTAGACTTATGGCCACAACCAGCTTCAAGAAAAACTGGGTTAGGTGTTCTATAATCAGGGCGCCATTTGGCCGGCTAAAACTAAGGAGTTTTATTACTAAATAGAAGAAGGAGAGAATAGATAAATACTTAGTACCCATGATAGGAGTCCAGGACTCCCCAAAGTATGCCTGAAATTCAATTTCCCACCAGCCAGGCTCAGAAGAGATTGTGAGATTTAGAGAGGATTATTGTGAGGATTAGCTACAGTGTGTTCAAGTGACTGGTAAAGAGTAAGTGCTCAATAAATATTCACTGCAGCTGACTTGCATGTGACCAGGATCTGATAGAGAATAATAAAGTATGGGAGATAACACATTGGACTTCCTGGGATGAGAAGGGGTCAAGGAGACATGTTTATCATGATAAACATGAGTTTATCATTCATTCATTTGTTCATTCAACAAATATTTATTCAGCTTTGATTATATGCCAGACACTGTTCTAGTTGCCAGAGAAATGACAATGAGCAATATAAAGTCCTTGCTTTCAGGAATCTTTCATTCTACTTAGGGGAAGTTGAATAATAAGTAAACAAATCACATGTTGGGGGCAAAGAATATAAAAAGAGATGGGGTAAAGGTTACAGAGGAATGCTGTGATAGGTGGAATTCTAAGATGGCCCCCAAGATTCCTGCTCCTGATTATACTCCTTGTATAACCAACCCTCACCCACTCCCCCACCTTAAGTCTGAATGGGACCTGTGAATATCATGGAATGCCACTTCTATGATTATGTTATGTTATACAGTGGAGGGATTTTGAAGATGTCCCAAATAAGTTTTAAAGTCCCAAATAAGTTGATTCTAATTAATCAGAAGGGAGATTTTTCCTGGATGGGCCTGACTTAATCAGATAAAAGCCTTTAAAAGAGGAACTGGGTCCTACCTGAGGTTAGAGAGAATTTCTCCTATTGGCCCTGAAGAAGTGAGCAGCTATGTTGTGAACTGCCCATGGAAGGGTCCCCATAACAAGGACTGAGGGCAGACTCTAAGAACTGAGAGCAGCCTCCGCTTTCCACTAGTAAGAAAACAGGAATCTCAGTCATACAGCCACAAGGAAATATATTCAGCCAAAAACCCGAATGAATTTGGAAGCAAATTCTTCCCTTGTCAAGCCTTCTGATGAGAATACAGCCCAGGCAACACTTTGATTGCAGCCTTGAGAGAGTAAGATGTGCCCAGACTCCTGACCCACAGAAACTGTGAGAAAATAAATCCATGCTGTTTCAAGCCACTAAGTTTGTGGTAATTTGCTATGCAGCATAAAAAACTAGTACAAATACTATTTTAAATGGGATGGTTAGGA